GTTGTCTCTGTAGGTTTTCCCATCATGATCTTGATGCCCCTTGCTCATAGATTCCTTCTTCTCTCTCTTTGACTGGACTCTCAGAGCTTGGTGTGGTGCCTGGATATGGATCTCTGCATCAGCTTCCATCAATTACTGGATGAAGGCTCTATGATGACAGGGTATTCACCGATCTGATTATTGGGGTAATCCAGTTCAGGCACCCTATTACTGTGCTCATGTAAATATGGGATAATTTGTGTAAGTTTCTTCCTCTGAGTAAGTTCCTCTAATTCCACCATATGGAACCCAAAGTGGAACTTAGGTCATCAGGGTTGGAGGAAAGTTCTCTTACCACCCCTTGATCAATATTACAGGTAACCATATGACAAACACTTAATGGGCTTTGATAGCTCCAACACTGGGGTCAATCTGATGTCTCAGAACCTATGATAAACCTGAGATAAAAGTCTATAAATAGAAGTTTCAGAATCACAATAAAATGCTGACATGATATACCAAAGGATGCAGGATCAGAAGTCCATATTCAGTCCAGACTGATTTCCTAGAGGAAGTGGTGTGGGGATCAGTGTCAGTCACCTTTACTGCCAACTGAGAATTGACCTTGGCTCCAAATTATCTTCATTATTATCTAAGTAATAGTTTATAGCCTAACAGCATGGCACTTTGGGACTTCCTCTTTGGTGTCTGGCTGGCTGTTTACCTAGCACAGCACAGCTCAGCTTTTCCTGCCTCCTCTCATGAACAGGGACTCCCTATATTCCATGTCACCTTTTCAGTGTACTATTGTCCTCTCTGTGGTCCTAGCCTTTCTTGGAAGATGTTTTCTCTACTCCAAGTTCCCAACCAAAGGAAGATCTGGACAATGCAAGCTGAGAAGTAGCCAGTTCCTCAAATCTCAGGATGAAGGAACTAGATTCCCAATGTATCATGGACATTGCTGTGCTTTTTAATCGCAGACATTTTTATAGCTCAGTTAGGAAAATCCTGGTGTGCTCTGCTACTCACTGCACCATCACTCAGAGCGCCTGTGTTGATGATGGTCATGACCACAGTAAAAATGTAAAATGAGGAAGATACTCATGCTCTGTCTTATGGAAGGAGGCTGGGAGCAAGTACAAAAAGAATGAGAGAATGAAAAAAGAGATGAGATGAGAAAGATAGATAGATAGATAGATAGATAGATAGATAGATAGATAGAT